TTGATTTTGAATTTAATAACTGCAGCAAGACTGTTGGTGGCACAATATTGGAAGAAGCAAGGTTTACCTACAATCCAAGAGTGGACAATGAAAGTTATAAATCTAGCGGAAATGGCAAAAATCTCGGCGTACCTGAAGGATCATTCAAATGAAAGATATTTAAGAGACTGGAGAAGGTGGATAGATTATATTCAAAATAAATATCGGAATAAGAAATTGCAGATAGGTTATGAATGATTATATAGATATTTAGTGTGTTTTTAAGTAATAAAGCTAGGCGGGTAATTAGGGAATTGAAGAAACAAGAGATGTGAAATGTCATAATTGTTTAGATTAGGATTGATTATGATTGTTGAAGTTTATACCCTGTAATTTGTTTGGGGAAGGGGAGGGGGGGAGGGGGGAGGTTGAGGTAGGGAAGGGGGGGAGAAATATGTAAACTTTTTGTAAAACTTTTCAATAAAAAAAAAGAAGATAGAGATAGATAGATAGATGATAGATAGATAGATAGATAGATAGATAGATAGATAGATAGATAGATGATGGATAGATAGAGACAGACAGACACAGACATATAGAGAGATGATAGATGATAGCTGATGAAGATAGATAGATAGATAGATAGATAGATAGATATATAGAGAGAGAGAGAGAGGAGGGAGGGAGAGATGATGATGGTGATGAAGATAGTGAGCGACAGACAGACAGATATAGAGAGAGATGATAGATGATGAAGTAGAGAGAGAGAGAGAGAGAGATGATAGATGATAAGATAGATAGATAGATAGATAGATAGATAGATAGATAGATAGATAGATAGATAGATAGATAGATAGATGAGAGAGAGAGGGAGGGAGGGAGAGAGAGAGAGATGATAGATGATGATGCTAGCCAAATCCTAGCTAGGAATTATGCCATGGTCTCCCAAGACGTCCAAAGAGCAGCTGGTTGGACGAGGCAGAGTCAGGTTTAGCTGATAGTTACACCATAAGAAAGACATATGGGTCTAACTAAAACGAATCAAAGAACCCTAAAGCTATTTCCTTGAAAAGCGCACCAATATCTCAGAAAATGTGCCTGCTGGACTTCAGATAAATGTATAATATATATTTTCTGCAGCCTCTATAATTGCCCAATTCTGAACAACGTTGCCGAGCGTTGTGGGCCTCTCTTCTCGGCCGTTGAGAAAACTGGAAAGGAATCAACTTTCCTTTGCTGCTGATCCCATTGTTTGCCTCGGTGGTTAGTTCTCGTGTATGCTTTGGGGGGGATGCTTTTAATTGAAATGTGAACCTAACAAAAACTCTTCTCCAAGTTGGGATTCTTTTGTGTAATTTGGACGGTAGGGTATTTTCCTTCCAAGGAATTCTTTTCTTTCTTTCTTTCTTTCTTTTTTAAAAGTTTGGTGGCTTTTGAAGTGCTTTTTGTTTGCTTTTTGTTCCGAGCCGGTTTGCATTCAACTTTTGTGCAGACCATTTCCTGACAGCCTAATATTTTTGTGTTATTTTTCTACAACTGTCCTCTTCGGTCACACACCCTTCTCAAGTGGCAATGCATTATATCGTTGCCCCCCAGATCAAATAATATACAGAGGGCTGCAGCCAAAATTAATTGTCCTGTATTGCAGTGGTGAAATCTGAACCGGTTTGCTACAGGGGTGGGTTCCTCCCGGTTCAGCCCGGTTCAACCGAGCCAGTAGCAATGACAATATGATGTCACCGAACCGGTTCTCTTTGTTTGGGAGCTGGGCCCTCCCGCCCGCCCCCCGCCCCGCATTATTCTTACCTTTTATTTGGCCCCGCCCCCAATCTATTCGCTGCCTCCCGAGTCCCAGCTCATTGGCTAGAAGGAAAAAACTATTTAAACTCTTGCCGCGGGGCTTCAAAGGGCCGCCCTACAACTGATCAGTGTTAAAAGGCAGTGTGGTGGTAGACCAGTGCACTCGAAAAACAAATGGGTAGACTGGTGCCTCCAAAAACAAATGGGTAGACCGGTACAGCTCTGCAAGCAGTTAAAAGCCTGATACATCAGTACCTCTGCTAAATCCTAAAGAATTATCACATGACCATCAAACCATGCCCACAAAATAAGCCACGCCCACAGAACCGGTAGTAAACCTGGTTTGCTACCAGTTCACTGGCCACACATGCACGCTGTGTGCCAAGTACGCATGCACAGTGCGCATGCACAGTGCTCACCAAATGCGTACTGCATGCACATGCACAGTGCGCACCAAACGCACACTGCATGCACACATGCACAGCACAAGCCAAAAGGAGGCTTGGGAAGGTAAGTAGAACAGCGAGGAGGGGGATCAGCTGTGCTTCACGATTTAGCTTCCCTAGAAAGCAGGATTTCCTGCTTTCTAGCAAAGCTAAACCACGCGGCACAGCTGATCATCGGAAATACCAGTTTGGAGGAACCGATAGTTTCTATCACTACTGATTTGCCCAAACCTGAGCAAACCGGTAGCATTTCCCCCCTGCTGTATTGTGTAGCCAAAGCTGTGGCCTAGAGGTGGAGCTCTTGCCGCACAATCAGGAGGTTGTGAGTTCGATCCTAGGAAGAGGCCAGATGTAGGGTCTCTTGCTTGGGCAGTGGGTTGGACTAGATGACCTGCAAGGTCCCTTCCAACTCTGTACAAGTGCTTTTTACCTGTAGAAAGCTAGCACCTACCCCTCTCCTAGAAGAATGAAATATTTTAGGAATTATTAAAAAGGCAGAATATTATATTTCCCAAAGAGAGAAATGGAGATACATGTTTTTTTTTAAGAGGCAGAAAACAGCCCCCCACCTTTCTTAATAGCCCTCAGCAGATGGCAGCACTTAAGAGATAAAGAGCTTATTGAAAGAAGCCAAGTATCTAGATAGCTCTATTCATAGGCAAAGCAAATACTGGAGGCAGAAATCCGTTCAAGACAGGATATTTTGAAATTCCCTGCAACAAGGTCTGAACAAAGGTAGAATTAGCCCTCAGGCACAATAGGAATTACCCAACACCTCTTCATTGCATCACCCTCAGAAACGTCAACCAAATGTAGCTCAGACAAACAGCTAGGAATTGTACTTTGCCTATAGAGCCAGCTATGACCCCTACATAACCCCTACATGGCCACATGGGAGTCTGACAACAGCCAGTAGAATCCCATGTTGTTGCACAGGAACAGGAAGCTCAAGTGCAAATCCCAAGAGAAGGTATAACCCACCCCCACCCCAACAATAAAAGGATCCACTTTCCAATCAGCCTCCAGCCTCCATTTTGTCTCCAGTGCCTTTCTCCTGGCTTGGAATTGGAGTTGGATATTTCTTCCAACATACCTTGAAGGTTTTTGCGATAGAAGACAAAATACTTAATTAAGGGCAAAAAAAAAAAAAAAAAGAGGAGAAGGTGGACACAGGCAATCCTTGACTAACAAAAGTTCATTCAGTGACCACTCAAAGTTACAACGGCACTGAGAAAAACCTGACCTATGACCATTTTTCACATTTATTGTCTAATCTAAGTTTAATTAGAAGATGTATTCCGGTTTTATTTTTCAAAAGTATACACAAGGAAAATGCCACGATCCAGGCAATTACCCCAGGAAGGTAACAGGGCTAATTGCCTCTGACAATGGTAGCAGAGGATGGTTATCAAAATGTAACAATTTAATTATTTAGGTCAGTAAGGTGTTTTATTTTCTTCTTTACAGTAAATATGAGTTTAATTAGAAGATGTATTCCGGTTTTATTTTTCAAAAGTATACACAAGGAAAATGCCACGATCCAGGCAATTACCCCAGGAAGGTAACGAGGCTAATTGCCTCTGACATTTATGACCGTTGCAGCATCCCTCATGGTCAGGTGATCAAAATTCAGACGCTTGGCAACTAGTTCATATTTACGACGGTTGCCCTGTCATGCCCTTTGTGACCTTCTGACAAGCAAAGTCAATGAGGAAAGCCAAATTCACTTGAGAACCAGATTACTAGCTTAACAGCCACAGTGATTCACTTAACAACTGTGGCAACAAAGGTTGGAAAATGGGGTAAAGCTCCCTTAACAAATGATTCACTTAACAACAGAAATTTGGGGCTCAATTGTGGTTGCAATTCGAGGACTACCTGCATTAAAAATGCTTTTCACCTTTGAGGGTTTTTGCTACAGAAGACAAAATATTTCATTAAAGGGCAAAAAGAAGGGAAGGTGGATATAGAGAGAACACATATCTTGTAAAATACAGTAGCGGCCAAAATTGTGGAACCCTTTTAGGAAAAGTATATTTTCTAAAACTAGCTAATAACACCACTTTTTTCCCCCGAAGTAATACCATAAAATTGTATATCAACGGAAAAATCATTTAATCAAGAATGTAATGCAATAACTTTTATGACAGATTTGCGATTAGAATAGCAGTTACAGTATAAAGAAGAAAAGTGAAACACGAGAGATACAAAAATGATCACCATAGAAAAAATGAGATATACAAAAATGATCGCCATGTCAGTTAATACTTAGTTGGGTAACCTTTAGCATGAATTACGGCCTTACAACGTCTTCCCATGGAGTGAACCAAGTCTTTGAGTTCTGCAGCTGTTACAATGTGAAACCAAGATTGAAGGATTGCTTCTATTAACTGGGTTTTATTGCTGGGTCGCTTCTGACTAACAAGTTTCTTTAGTCGGCTCCATAGATTTTCCATTGGGTTAAAGTCTGGGCTATTCCCAGGCCATTCCAGCAGTGGAATAGAATTATTTTGAAACTCCAAAAAAACAAGTGGTGTTATTAGCCATCGAACCTCAAAAATACACTTTTCCCAAAAGGTTTCCACAATTTTGGCCACTACTGAACATACTTTTTTTTTAGTAAGAGAAATTTGATGAAGGAGGTAGCGTGGTAGCTTCAGACCATTGAAGCACAGGTAGCCCACAACTTACAACAGTTCATTTAGTGACCATTTGAATTTACAACCGCAAATTACAGTGACTTATGACCGGTTTTCAAATTTCTTTTGCCTTTAGTCTCCAGCAGACCAATGTAAGAAGATCCATGCAGGGGACGAGGTGATCCAGGTCAACCATCAAACGGTGGTGAGTACACTTCTCAGAAAATACTAAGGGGTCATTTGTTTTAATCGTTTCTGTTGCAATATTTCCAGGATCAGACTCAATAAAGATAATAGAAGTTAAAGCTTTAAATATATTTCTTTTTAATTATGATAGGCATTCTATATTCACTGAATATTCAAGGTAGAAGCAGTGAGAATGGTGAGGGTGGCTCCTTATATATACAAGGGGTGGAGCTAGGAATGGGAGTGGTAAGTTATGAATACATTAAAGTCCAAAGAATAAGTTAACCTCTGATGTTCCATATATACATTATTTACACATTGGAGAATAAGGCATTTACATCTGACAGTTTCTTTTTATTGGAGAAGGATTAACATACTATTAGCCATGGTGGCGCAGTGATTAGAGTGCGGTACTGCAGGCTACTTCTGCTGACTGCCAGCTGACTGCAATTTGGCAGATCGAATCTCACCAGGCTCAAGGTTGACTCCGCCTTCCATCCTTCCGAGGTGGGTAAAATGAGGACTCAGATTGTTGGGGGCAAAATGCTCACTCTGTAAACTGCTAAGAGAGGAATGTAAAGCACTGTAACGCAGTATATAAGGCTAAGTGCTATTGCCCTTCCTTCCTTCCTTCCTTCCTTCCTTCCTTCCTTCCTTCCTTCCTTCCGTTTCTCCCTTCTTCCCTCCCTCCCTCCTTCCTTCTCTCCCTCCCTCCCTCCCTCCCAGTGTTAAAATGCAGTGTTGCAGGCTAATTCTGCCCACTGCCAACAGTTTGATCCTGACCACCTCGACGTTGACTCTCTCACCAAACAAGGTTTTAAATTAGGTTGATGTGGCAAGCAAATAGTTTTTCTTCCCTTTAGTTATGCAATATGAATTTTAACTCAGTCCCAGAAAAAAATGAATGCTTTGGAAAACCAAGCCAGAATGGTTTTATTCTTTAAAAATAATTTATTTGGCTTGACATGTGGGGTAACAGGACCTCTTTTACAGTCAAGGTGCAGAACTGAAGACTGTTGCGTTGAAAATAATTTGAGGGACAAAGCCAGAAGGCATAAACAATGACATGAGCCGTGGTGGCTCAGTAGTTAGAGTGCAGTACTGCAGGCTACTTCTGCTGACTGCTGGCTGCCTGCAATTTGGCAGTTCGAATCTCAGCAGGCTCAAGGTTGACTCAGCCTTCCATCCTTCTGAGGTGGGTAAAATGAGGACCCAGATTGTTGGGGGCAAAATGCTGACTCTGTAAACCACTTAGACTGGGCTGTAAAGCACTGTGAAGCGGTATATAAGTCTAAGCACTATTGCTACCACCTAAGGCCATTTAAAATCTTTACGTATCATTTTAATTGTGAATTGGTTTGAACAAATGCCTACGTAAGAGAAGTTGAAATGGATGGTTTCATTTCTTATGCTGGAAGGATAAATGTATTTGGTTGAGCCCAGACTTCATCATGCTTATATTCGTTCCACTGATACCAAGGAGACCTATGTTGGACGCTGTTCACTTATTCCACTGCTTTCAAAAGAACAATGCTGACCTTCTTATGTTGGTATAACTACCCCTATATCGTCCATATAGGGGTGATGGCTCAGCAGTTAAAGATGTTGAGCTTCTCAGTTGGAAAGTTGTTAGCCCAGGTTCGAGACCTGAGCACCGCACAATGGGGTGAGTTTCCATTCCTTGCTTCAGCTCCTGACCACTTAGCAGTTTGAAAGCAGGCAAATGCGAGTAGGTGAATAGGTACCACTTTGGTAGGAAGGTAACAATATTCTGCACACCTTCAGCATATAGTCATGCTGACCACATGACCAGAATATTAACTATTCTATTTATTGCTTTATTGTCCAGAGGTTTTATTATGAATTTGAATTTGGACTGCTTCTTATTGCCTTAGACTGGATTGCTTTTTCTTCCATTTGGATTATTTTGCATTAATGCAGTGTGTTTTGCATGCCACTTTGCTAATCTTTTTGTGAGGTTGAAAGGCAGGATTTGAGACAAACCAAGAGCTAAACTGAAGTCAGCATATTCTTTATCAGGGCAATGTTGAATTGGAATAATACATGTGCATGGATTCTCAATTTAGCTTTGTCATAAGGCAAGCCAATAACGTAAGAATATAAAGATGTCTGTCTGTCTGTCTGTCTGTCTGTCTGTCTGTCTGTCTGTCTGTACATTTATTAGGAAATATTTCATTAAGGTGCAATTTTGACCAATTGGCCTGTTCATGGAACACAGCTGTTCTGGATACTATAAATTTGTTATTACTATCAATAAACTGTACCCTTTGGTTCCAGTTTCGTATCCCATGAATCTTAATCTCCTGGATACGTTTTCTCCCTTTCTCCTCAATTGTTTAGGTATGTGTACGTCTGCAGTGACTCCAAATATGTGCATGTGTGATAATTTGGGTTTTCTATTGTACATCACCTCACTATGGTGTCTTATTCACAATACTGGACCAGGTTCTATTTTGAGTGTAATTCGAATAATGTAATGCCTCTGACCAAAATTGTTTGCCTAAACCAGCATCCTCTAATGTGCACCTAATCATGGTTTGCAGTGTGGAATTTTTCCTCTCTGCAACTCCATTTTGAAATGCAGAAAAAGGATTGGACGTGAAATGTAACATTCCTCTATCCTTTAACCATTGGGAGAATTCTTTAGACATGAACTCACATCCCCTATCTGTCATAATTTGCTTTATTCTGATATTATGTTGTGTTTCTATACGTTTGTAGAATTCCTTAAATTTCTGAAATGTTTCATCCTTGTGCTTTAATGTGTAAACAAAACCATATCGGCTGTAGTCATCCACTATTGTTAGGAAGTAACGTTTTCTATAGGTAATTGAGGGACTTAATGGACCAACTAAGTCCATATGTACCAAATCAAAAATATTGTTAGTTGATCTGTTAGATTTTTTTGGTCTGGGACTGGTTTTTAGTTTGGTGGACTTACATACTGAGCATTCCAAATAATTTTCACAATTTTTTATTTTGACACCTTCTGCGTGTTCAGTCATTTTTTGTACTACAGGAAAGCTTGCATGTCCTAACTTCCTGTGTAAGATGTGAGCACACTCATCATGAATTGGTTTACCTATTTTGGTTTCTTTTCCTTGTATGTGTTTTTGTGATCATGAGTTATTCTACACTCATCATTGTCACTGTTACTGACATTTTCATCATCTGCTTCAATACAATCTTCCATATTTGAATCAATGTTATGTAAACATCTTTCTTTAGTTATCAGATAGGGTAGACTCCTTTTATCATTACAGTACCTACATTTGTTTTGTTCTTTTCTATAGTTGCTTTCCCCTTTGAGAAAACTATATTGATATCAGATTCTCTGCTTAATTTTATGGCACTTAGTATGTTGTGAGGTATTTCTGGGATTAATAATACCCCCTCTATTTTCCCTAGACCAGGCAAGGTCACATTTCCTTTGCCTAGTACTTGAACCTTTTCTTGATTAGCTACCTTTATCAAACTTATCTTCTATAAATGAAGATAATATACTTTTGTTGTTGGTGGTGTGATTTGTTGCACCAGAATCAATAAGCCAATTGTTATTCTCATCCTGCTGTGTTCTGGTGCTGTCTTGTTTATTTAGCCCATTCAGTGACCCAGATTTCCTCTCTTTTGAATTTTCTCTACCCCTCTACCTTCTTTGTAATTTGGTGGGCTTCTATATTTGTGTCTATCTGTGGAAGATTGTCTGTAATTATATTTGCTCCTATATTCTGGTCTATGTCTCTCTCTTGAGACTTTGGGGCAGTCTCTTCTACTATGTTCCCTGGATCCACAATTGTAGCATCTAAAGGCCTCATTATGTTTATCTTGAAAGACTACTTTCCTAAAAGGTTTGTGGTCTGTTTGGTTACTGGATCGATTTTTTCTTGAATTGTCTTCTGCTATCAATTTGTTAGATAGACTTTCTATGGATAAATATCCCAAATTAATGGTATCTAAGTGTGACATAAAGCTATCCCATGATGGATCAAGTGAATTGATAATAACACTTTTCATTGTTTGATCTGAAATCACTTCCCCCCTCAATTGTAGCTCAGCTCTTATTTTGTTTAGATTTATCAAATGCTCACTTATAGAAACCCCTGGTTTTACTCTAGAGGAAAAGAAATCCTTAGACATTCTTGTGGTTGTAGCTACGCTATCGCTGTGAAATAGATTAAACATGCATTGAATTATTTCTGATACAGTTAGGTTTGGTTTGATGCTATGATACATTGCAGGAGACACGCTAGATATTATTATGAAAAATGCTCTATGATGTAAACAATCTATTTTTAAAGTCCAAGGTCTTCTTGGAGGGCTAGTTATAAAGAATAGTAAATTTTCTTTCATGAAAATAACCTGAAGCTGTTGATACCACTCTTGTAAATTAATGCCATCAATTCTAAGTTTTGGGAAGTCACTGGGTAAGTTACCTACATTATTCTGTCCATTACTTACAACCTGGGGCAGTCCGTGATCTCTCAAGTGCAGGAAATTACAGAACGGCATTGGGATGCTTGCAATGAGTCTGCGCGGTTCTCTGGCCAGTTCAAGTCCTTCTGGGTCGTCTACGTAGTTTCGCACATGCGCGTTGTTCATTTCTTCTTTGGTGGCGTCGTGGAAGGTTCTCTCCCTTTCAGCTCTCTCGATCCGCTCCTCCTCAGATGAGTCGGTCTCTGGCTCGGTTTTTGGGGTTCTGGTGGTGGTGACGGTTCTTTTCTTCTTTTTGTGTGCGTTGGTATTCGATTTTGTCTGTGGTGTAGGGCGAAATCGGCATGGCTCTCTGGGCTCGGGCGTCGTCGCTTTCGAAGTCAGGATGGGAGCGTGCAGGTCTTGAGTCGCCGGTTTGATTTCTTGCTTCTTCGTAGATGTCTTTGGTAATTTTCAGTCTTGGCCCAAAAGCAGCAAAAAGCGTTTTCATTGCTGATTTTACTTGAGATTTTGTTAAATCGTCTTCACTTTCTGATTTTGGATCATCTGAAGAGTTTGAGACTTCTT